GATGTTAGCTGCCTGGAAATTACTGAGAGAATCATTGAGGAGTTGAAAGCAGTTTCTTCTGTTTAAAGATCTTTCCTAATGCGTTCTCAGGAAGTTTTGCTCTCGGAAATGTGACTTCTTCTCTGTCTTGACAAAAGAAGGTTGTAGTTTCAGAGGGCACAATTATAGGTCATTATCTGCTTTTTAGAGGATGGTTTGCTTTTGCAGCCCAGAGTTAGGACTGTTGATTTTCAGTTGATGAGTTACGGAATTGCACTTATTCCTCAACTGATTTCTACTTCAATGTGGTATCACCAACAGGCTGTGTCTGTTAACCCCCGACACAGACAAACTGTGCATTGCTCAAATTCACACCAGTTATACACTGGCAATACAGGGTTCAGCTTTAAACTGCTGCTGTGATGAGGGGAGCGGGGAAGGCTATGAAGAGTGGAGGAGGTTTGTGAAGAAGGGAGGGGAAAGAATTGGTAGCAGTTTTCTTGTTCCTTACGCCGTCTCACTTATTTTCATTCGATTCTCCCAGCTCTTACTCACTCCTCCTATCCTTACTCACTCCTTCCAGTCCTTACTCACTCCTACCATCCTCACTCATTCCTCCCTGTCCTTACTCCGTCCCCAAAATTGTTACATTGGAGCTTGTCATTAGAAACTTTTAACATTAAAATTTACATATTTTGTGGAAAGAAAATGTAATCGCTGATGCTTTGTCCAGAATGTAAACAATGGAAATCTTCAGAAGATAATCAAGAAGTTGTATGGCAATTGGGAAGCTAGTGGGAGGAAGAATTGAATGGCTATGAGTTGTTTAAGTTTTACAAGCCTAGTCATGAAATGCATTTTTGAAATGGCATTTCATTATTTAAGGGTAATCTCTTTGCTTGCGGTTTGAAAGTGTGAGTTGAGGTTAAGAGTTGAATTTTGAACAGCTGCTTGTTTTAAAAGAGATAAGAACAAAAGATGATGCGATTTGTTAGAAACTGACCTGGAAAGTAATGCAACTTAATTACTGATCTGCAGATGAAGTACTGAGAGTTGGAAGCAGGTTGAATGATGAATTGATCAATCAAGGGAGGACTAATGCTAACCAGCTGACCATGGAGAATGTTGATTAAAAAGAGAAAACCGGTTCTGACTGTGTTTTTGCAGGAGTAAGAATGACTTTGGAAGCCTCTGGACCGGGTGTTCGGTTTTGCTCTGTCTAGTTTTCTGTCCAAATATCAAATTGTTGACTGTTCTGAGAAAATAATTCCAGTCTGTAAGAAATAAGTAAATATTCCCAGGAGTCTGCTGGAATTGTTTGCACTAACTAATGACTTTGGAATTTGAGCAAGATTTCATTGTTAGGAACAGTTGCGGAAGTTCCATTTCAAAGGAGTATGTAAAATGAGTGACAAAAAGTTATAGCAAGGACATAAAAAGACACCCTGATTGGAAATGAATGGGGTAGTGCCATATTTTATGCAAGTATTATTTAAGGTTCCATGTTGACAATCAAGGTAGTGGAAGAATTCAATCGAATGAAAAGAATATATAAAAATAGCAGTTCTATGTGCCTGTGAACAACTCATTGTCTGAGGATTTCATGAAGGCCTGATACTCATTGTTTCAAACTGTTTAATTGAACTGGCAATTTACTATTCTTTTAGTTTCCTTTTAGTTTATCCTTTCACTGTGTCTGTCAGTCTGTCTCTGTGTGAGTAGAGGTTATGATAAACAAAAATTAGGTTTAGATTGTAGACATTAATTAGATTACCTTGTTTATCTTTGTTCTGACAAAGTTAAATAATTAATAATAAATTGTTTATTTTTTGTTTCAGTTATAAATTCATGTCCAAGATCTGTTATTTATAAAGTCTGGTTTGGGCAATTATGAGAGTCATTGAAAATTTTACTTTCACTGTTGTGAATCAAGTGATAGTGAGGCTGCTTTGGTTTGGCTTGCTATGCCTATGCTGTCACAATATGTAGAGAGCGAGAGAGAAAGATATGTATTGGCAGTTGGTTTTTACCGTGTTCATGACTGCCTGAATGCAGCAAAACGTGAATAATATTCAGGCTTGGTCTGATAACTGCTGATAAATCCTGTTCTGAGGAAGGGTCACTGGACCCGAAACATTAACTCCGATTTTTACTTCACAGATGCTGCCAGACCTGCTGAGCTTTTCCAGCAACTTTGTTTTTGTTCCTGATAAATGCTGAGTTGCATTTGCATCACACAAATGCCAGACGATGATCGCCACAAACAAGAGAGATTTTAACCATTTCCTCTTGACATTGAATGCCATTATTACCACTGAATCCCCCACTACCAACATAATTGGGATTAGCATTTATCAAAAACTGAACTTGATCACCTACATAAATTCTGTGGCGAACAGAGCAAGTCAGAGACTAGGAATTTTGCGGCAAATAATTCAAATCCTGACTGCCTAAATCCTTTTTACCAATTACAAGGCAGAAGTTAGGAGTGTGATGCAATGTACCCTACTTGTCTGGATAACTGGGTCTCCAACAAGACTAAAGTAACCTCCTATCCTCAAGGACAATGCAGCCCACTCGATTTGCATTCCATTCACCTGTTAAATATTCACTCCATCCACTACTGACACATGTAGCATACGATCAAGAAGTTGCTGTACAGCCATTTACCGAGGCCCCTTTGACAACATCTTTCAACCTACAGCCTGTATGACCTCAGTGAACATGGGCATCAAGCACATGGGAACATGCTGTCTGCATCACGCCATCTCAACTGTTATCACTGTCACAAAGTAAAATCCAGCAATTCCTTTGCAAATTACACTTTGGGTAATCCTTACACCAAAAAGACTGCAGTGGTTAAACAAGCTAATTTACCACCGCCTTCTCAGTATTGATTAGAGTTAAGCAATAAATGCTGGCCTTCTTTGTGCTGTTGCATAACAAGAATGAATAGAAAGAAATGCTAGTAGGTCCACTAATTCAGTTTTATTGTGTTCATAGCAGAACATATTGGGTCAAAGTTTAGAGTAGTATGGATAACAAAACTAACCACATTGATCACCACTACACCTTAGAAAATGAAAGCAACTTCTGAAATTCACACGTGTGCAGTTAAATGCATAAATCCATAAGTTGTTGTGACTGAGTCTCCAAAGGGTATGTTATCAATTACAGGTCACTAAAATAATGAGATCTTCTACTTTTATGCCAATTGTCTTGCTGTACAGCTCTGAAAAATGTTATAATTTATTAAATGTTATGTAATTGATTTCTTTACGGTGTACTAACTTCATAATTATTTATGACAAACCTCTATCACCAGAAAATCTAATTTTATACTTGCTGAAAATCAAATTTCTGTTCAATGATTGAAGAAATCCACATTTCTAAAATATATGGTTTTAAAACTTTGCTTTTCATATTTCAGCTTCTATCTTAATCCTATCTGCATGTCCAAATCAGTGTCCATAAAGTTGAGTTAAATGTGAAGGATAATGATAGCATTTCATTTCCTTGTCTGTTTTTAGTTAAAATACTTCAGTCTGACTGGCTGCTACTCAACATACATTTCTTTTTAGAGTCATAGAATCATCGAGCTGTACAGCATGGAAACCCTTCGGTCCAACTCATCCATGTCGACCAGATTTCCTAAATTAATCCAGTCCCATTTGCCAGCATTTGGCCCATATCCCTCTAAATCCTTCCTATTCATATACTAATCCAGATGCCTTTTAAATGTTTTAATTGTACCAGCGCCCACCACTTCCTGTGGCAGCTCATTACATACACACACCAACCCTCTGTGTGAAATCATTGCTCCTTAGGTCCCTTTTAAATCTTTCCCCTCTCACTTTAAACCTATGCCCTCTAGTTTTGGATTCCCCAAGCCCAGGGGATCTACCTTGGCTATTCACTCTATCTATGCCCCTCATGATTTTATAAACCTCCGTAAGGTCACCCTTCAGCCTCCGACGTTTCACGGAAAACAGCCCCAGCTTATTCAGCCTCTCCCTATAGCTCAAACCGTCTAGCTCTGGCAACATCCTTGTAAATATTTTCTGAAGCCTTTCAAGTTTCACAACATCCTTCCTATAGCAGGGAGACCAGAACTGAACACAGTATTTCAAAAGTGGCCTGAACAAAATCCTGTTCAGCTGCAACATGACCTCCCAACTCCTATACTCAATGCTAATATTCTATTAGCAATCCTATACTAATAAAGGCAAGCATACCAAACACCTTCTTCACTATCCTGTTTACCTGCAACTCCACTTTCAAGGAATTATGAACCTGCACTCCACGGTCTGTTTGTTCAGCAACACTCCCCAGGACCTTATCATTAAGAGTATAAGTCCTGCCCTGAATTTCCTTTCCAAAATGCAGCACCTCACATTAACTAAATTAAACTCTGTCACTCATCAGCCCGTCTGATCAAGGTCCCATTGTACTCTAAAGTAACACTCTTCGCTGTCCACTTCACCACCAAGTTTGGTGTCGTCTGCAAACTTACTGACCATACCTCCTGTATCCACATTCAAACCATTTATATAAATGACAAAGCAGTGGACCCACCACTGATCCTTGTGACACACCGCTGGTCACAGGGCTCCAGTCTGAAAAGCAACCCTCCACCACTACACTCTGTCTCCTACCTTTCAACCAGTTCTGTATCCAAATGGCTAGTTCTCCCTGTGTCCTATGTGATTTAATCTTGCTAACCAGTCTACCATGCAGAGCCTTGTTGAATGCCTTACTGAAGTTCACATAGATCACATCCACCGCCTTGCCTCATCAATCCTCTTCGTTATTTCTTCAAAAATCTCAATCAAGTTAGTGAGACATGATTTCCCATGCACAAAGCCATGATGACTATCCATAATCAGTCCTTGTCTTTCCAAATACATGTCAATTGTGTCCCTCAGGATCCCTTCCAAAAACTTGCCCACCACCAACGTCAGGCTCACTGGCCTACAGGTCCCTGGTTTTTCCTTACCACTTTTCATCATTTTATATTTCAGATCTCATTTTTGATGTCCATTTACCTGAGTCGAGAACTCTCTGATGAAAGTTGCTCTGCCCTTGGACTGGTATTGCATTATCTCTACCTGTGCCAGTTCAGCTGGATGCTTATTCAGGTCAGTGCAGAAAATCTCTTGTCCTAAGTCTGTAGGAACTTGACCAGATTTTCTCATTTCTTAAAACAAATGTAAAGGAAATAAAAGAAATGTATTATGAGGGACTAAAAAGAAATACAATCCAACAGTCTGAGGAGCAGACTTATACATGGAACTATTTATGTAATAACTCCTAATATTTTGCTATACACAAGAATGAAGACAGAAACAATGAGTTATGGATCCTTGGAATTTGTGTTAAATTTGTCTGTCTGTAAAAAGGTCTTGCATCTCATGAACATCTGTCACACTTCGGATGTCATATTTCTAAGTGTTAAAAATAGAAAAGTATCATTTTCTGTTCACTTTCTCTCTAATCTTAGTGCTTGACATTCCCCAAGGGCAGGAAATGGGGAATTATGACCAGCTGACAACATACAGATACTTCCAATTGACCTGCAGTAGACTTCATTATCGATGTTTGTAGCCTTTTGTGTACAGTTTCTCAAAGGGATATCTGAGCAGTGTGCTTAAAGGGAATCACCTGGATAAACGTAGTTCCATCTTAGCTGCCCAACATCTTGAGAAGTCTGCCAGCTCACCCTCTTGACGTCCTCACCCCACCCCAACACTCCAAAGACTTCGGCCACAGAAGAACACCCCTGGAGAATTGCAGATGCCAAAGTTACTGCAGAAGAGTGGGTAAATCTCCAATACTATGGCCATGTTTCAAACTGCAGATTGAACAACACAAAAGGAGATCTGCTAGTTTTATATCTTAGAGATGTTGGTGGGAGATCAACAGATGCATCAGTTATTCAGTTGGTTCTTGGGCTGTCTACAAGAGCATAAAGCGGCTGATAGTAAGTTAACAACTTGTTTACTGTCTCTTCCGAATGTTATTTCCATAATGAGAAACTAAACTGTGGTGGTGTGAATGGATTGCTGATTCACTATCACCTGTTATACACTATTGTGCAAGGTCAAGACTTATCCCACTGAGTGTCAGGTTTAGGTGGCAATTTTGTTGCAGGGCATGGACCCTGTGCCTGCTCTTTACAAAGCCCAGGTGCTTAGGTTTGAATCTCCCTTTACTGAGCATTGACACATCATTAGCCAGCTGTAGGTGCTGCAATAGATGCCATGTAATGTTATGAAGAGAATCAGGTCACCAAAAAATGCACATGGGCCACACTTGAATGCAGCATATAGACCATTGAAGATTGACATACTTTCGATTGTTACTTGGCCCTATTATATGTGTGACTGTGTATTTTTGGTTTATGTGGAAAAGCCAGAACTCTCTGGGTGGGATGGGGGCATTAATTTCACCCAGCAGACCCAGCTGTCTAGGCTCAGCAAGCACTAAATAGCACTAGGCTGTTTTATTGCAAAACTACTGATTGCCCTGAACCCAGCTGTGTGTGGGTTTTAAGGAAACTTTTAAAGGGACAGAGAGAGGTGGATGGGTTTAAGGTAGAAATTCCAGTTGTAGGTGATCGAAGACATGACTGCCACTGATGGGAGTGAAAGAATTAGGGTGGATAAAGAAGAGGCCAGAATCAGGGAAATAGGGAATATGGTGAAGTAGCCAGGGCTTTACAGAAATGTTGTGCAATGAAGCCACAGTGAAATTAATCTGAAGAATTTAGAATTTGTCTGTTGATAGACCATGTGCTGAATTTTTGCAATACCCTATGGCTGGGAGTGGGGGCAAGTAGTGGGGACATGAAATTACATCCACTGGCCAGTGTATCAATTTGAGTGTTGGGGTGTAGGGTGGCTGGATAGCAACCTCAGTCAGTTATATCAATTACTAGAAAATCTCAAGAAATAAAATCGCCTGGCATTGATTTAGTCATCAGAAATAACAATGGCAAAAACAGTTCTTTCAACCATGGAATGTCCTCCTTACTAAAAATGGTGGGTCACTAGCAAAATTGGGAGAGCTGTCTCACAGACTCATCAAGCAATAGCCTGATATAACCATACTCATGGAATCATATCTTACAGATAATGCCCCAGAAACCACCATCACCCTGGATATGTCCTGTCTCACCAGTAGGACAGATCCAGCTGATGTGCTGGCACATTGGTATAAATGGGGGAGGGAGTTGCCCTAAAAGTCCTCAACATTGATTATGGACACCATGAAGTCTCATAGCATCAAGTCAAACATGGCAAGGAAAAATCGTACCATCCTCCCTCGATGATTCAATGCTCCTCCGTGATGAACAACACTTGGCGGTAGCACTGGGAGTAGCAAGGGTGCAAAATTTACTATGGGAGGGTCGTTTCAGTGTCCACCGCCAAGAGTGGCTCGACAGCAGTCCTAATGATTGAGCTGGTCAAGTCCAAAAGGACTTTGCTGCGAGATTGCAGCAGGTGATTAGGGAAACAATAAAAGGGAGAAGCAGCAGCAGAATCATACACCAGCACAATCTGCAATCTCATGGCATTGCATATCCCCCACTCTACCACTACCGTCACCTTAAACCTATGCCCTCTAGTTTTGGAGTCCCCCACCCTAGGAAATAGACTTTGACTATTCACCCTATCTGCACCCCTCATGATTTTATAAACCTCTTAAAGGTCACCCCTCAACCTCTAATGCTCAGGGAAAATAGACTCAACCTATTCACTCTCTCCCTACAACTCAAACCCTCTAATCCCGGCAACATCCTTGTAAATCGTTTCTGCACCCTCAAGTTTAACAACATCTTTCCTGTACAAGACCTGGACAATATCCAGGCTTGGACTGAAAAGTAACACCATACTAATAGCAGGCAATGGCCATCTCCAATAAGAGACATTCAATGGCATTGCTATCACTAAAGCCTCAACTATTAATATCATGGGAGTTGCCATTGACCAGAATGTCAACTGGACTAACTATATAAACACAATGGGTACAATAATTGGTCAGAGACTAGGAATCCTGCAACAAGTAACTCACCTCCTAACATCCCAAAACTTGTCCACCATCTACTCTCCCTCCACTTTTGATGCTACTTAGGTGACTGTTTATGATTGGTGTGTCCACAATGGGTCGAAGGGCCTTTTTCTGTGCTGTAGATATCTGTGACTCTAATAAATGTCACAGTAGGATGGCCACCTATCCCCCAAAAGGATTGGTGTAGCTAGCATTAAGATTTTGGGCCCAGCGGCAATGAGAGACATCTACCTTCACAGAAAGGGAATCCTGAGCAGTAGGACAGCATAAAGAGGAAAGAAGGGCAGGAAGTCATGGAAGGTCAAACCCTCCACATAGGATCTAACATTAGAGACAGAGATGCATTGAGGTGATTGAAAGCAGAAACTCACAGACATCTGTGAAGTCATTCGTGAAAACCTTGCACTTCACCACTCTTACTACTGTATCTTGTCAGTAGCTATCAAAGTCACTGAATTTCTTTGCTTCTGGTTCCTTCCAAAGGTCAGTACTGTACCTTAGCAGCATTTATAACTGCAGCACACAGCTACATATCATTGATCATTGATGTCCCTTTGTCAGAGCTAAACAGTGCATTCATCTTGTGACAGATACACCTCACTGAGAGGGCAGAGGGTTTCTGCACCTTTGCCTAGATTCCTCAGGTACAGGGCACTATCAGTTGTACCCATGTAGCCATCAAGGCACTCTGTGATGCATCAGTGAGATGCATCAACAGGAAGAGTTTCCACTGCATCATTGTCCAATGGTCTGCCACTACAACAAGAACTTCCTTCACATATGTGCTTACTTTCCTGGCAGCTGCTGTGACTCCTTCATTATTCTCCAATCATTGTTTTTCTCAGAGCTTTACTTAAACCCTAATGTGCATGAATGGATTCTATGAGACAAGCGACAACACTTAAAGACATGACTACTCCGCTCGCAGGAGTCACAGACAGAGGCATAGACAACCAATGTCAGTCACACAGTAGGACAGATGCCAACCGAGCTTTAAGCATCTGGTAATGTGATTCTGGTGATAGGAGCAGTCCACAGTGGCCATTATGACTTTCCTGCAAGGATCTCAGTTATTTGGATGGTATGTTGCATTCTGCAGAAACCTGTGGATAATGAGGGCCTCAGAGGGGGATCAGGAGGCGCAAGATCCAGAGGGAGAGATCAAGAGAGATGATGCTGAACAGAGAGATGCCCACTGCACAGTGAAGTGCTTAAAAATGCCTTGTGTGGTGAACAGCCCATGAGGATGCCATTAATGTCAGGGTGTCTTGTTTCAGGAACAGAGTCCTCTCACCCAGATTAAAAATTTGGCCATGGAAGGGGATTGGAGAGATGTTTGCCAAGACATCCGTGGAAGACTCAGCCTGGAGCATTAATTGCTTACGATAAAGAAAGCATATCTGCCCAGAGACATTGTCCTCCCTATGGAAGATCCTGTTATCACCTCTTCATTACATACCACTTTTCCTTTTTTGGTAGCAATAAAAAGAGCCCCATACATGACTGAAAGTGTTATTATTTATACATTACAATATAGAAGAAAACAATAAACAGATACAAGTAAAAGCACACCCCAATGACCAAGAGATAGTAGGAACTGCTGATGCTGGAGTCTGAGATAACAAGGTGTAGAGCTGGATGAACACAGCAGGCCAGGCAGCATCAGAGAAGCAGGAAAGCTGACGTTTT